CTGAGAACTAAGGCATTCAGAGATTTCAAGTCATGCTTTTTCAGTTGATTCAAAATTTTGTCAACCAAGTTTTCTAAAGTTTGTTCAGAGCCAACATTACCATGTCACACATTTATTATTTCATACATTTACTTTCTTTCCCATAAAAGACCTTTGATAAACATCTAAAGTGGAGGACATTTCTTAAAGCTGATAAATCCCAAACTGCTTTAGTTTTAAGGATTCTTTCTTGAATAGACCAGTGTTATATGAATCCTATTCATCAAATTGTAAAATTTCAACATTGGAAAAGATTTTTTAAATACCCATTCATGTAAATAACAACTGAAATTTATTAATAACAATCTCTCTACATTACTTTTTTCTGCAGCCAGAAAGCAAGGTTTTTCAGTTTTGTGCCTACAACTTTTTACCTCAGATTTGCCATTTCTTCCATGCATACTGGAATATCTTGCAGTTTATTGTTGCTGAGAACAAGAGTACCCAGATTTTTCATATTGCGGATTGTTTCAGGCAAGCATGTTATTTCATTTCGTTGCAGCCATAATGTATGTAGATTTTGCATTCTGAAAAATTAAGGTTTCTGCAATTAATTACGTATAATATGAAAACATTGGTTTTGGAGTTTTAAAAAATAATTTTAAGAGGCAGGGGTCTCATCATGTTGCCCAGGATGGCCTTGAACTCCTGAGCTCAGGCTACCCTCCCACCCTCAGCCTCCTAAAGTGCCGGGATTACAGGCGTGAGCCACTGCACCCAGCCTTTGGTTCTTATGTAAAAATCAAATGTCTTTTACAACATATTTAACCAGTATACTTACTGAGTTAACTGACATCACATTACCTGGTTATTAGAGAAACCGCATCAGGAAGTTCATCTCTACAGTACAACTCTTACATCGTATGGCAATAGAAATGAAATCAAATCAACATATTCTAGAATTCTTTCACTATTCTCATAGGATTTCTTGAAGAAGAACTGCTGTAAATGTTACCTAATCTGAGTTAGAGTCTTAAGAGAACAATCAAATGATTAATATGCCCATTTATAGCAAAGCAGTATGCATAATGCTTAACATCATGGACTCTGGGTCCAGGCTGCCTAGGTTCAAATCCTAGCTTGCCCACTTACTAACTTGAGCAAGTTAGCTAACATCTCTGTCATTAGTTTCTTCATCCGCTTGTAAAGTGCATAGAAGTGCTTGGCATATACTAAGCAAGGTGGTTATTGTGGCATATTCTTGTTAATTTCTCAAAGTCAGCCAGTTTTGGCCAGGCGTGGTGGCTCATGCATGTAATCCCAGAACTTTGGAAGGCAGAGGCAGGTGGATCACTTGAAAAAAGCCAGTTTTTTCTTCTTCCCAAACCCTTTTACTTACTTGGAACAAATGAAAATATTCTGTTAAAACAGTGTATTTCAAACTAGTTGGACCTATTGTGATTGATTATGCTCGAGATCCCATTTGTCTTGCTTAGTTTTTTTCATAAGAGGTTTCAAGACATTTATCATTAGCATAAAGAGTTATTTCTTTTACCTTTCTATAGTATCAGGAAGTTGTTCAAGTTTGTTGCTTCCCATGTCTAGCCACTCAAGGGCAGGCATGTTCAACACAGCAAGAGGGATTGTAGTAAAATGGTTCATACTCAGATCAAGGTGAGTAAGTTTTAGCAGATTGCTGAGCTGAAGAAGAAAGCAAAGTTTTTCAAAATAAATGCCCACAATGTAAACTACTAAAAGACTCACGTCGGTAAAGGCAATATTTCACATCCAGGAATGTTCACATTTTACTTGGGCTTTATTTAGTCATAGTAGTCCACAACAAATTAAAAATAAATATAAAGCTAAATAACCTCCAGGGAAGTGTAAAACTCTCATAGAAAGTTCACCTATTCAAAGAAAATTTATCTTTCATAATCACCAGGTTCCAGGGTTTATAGAATGTGCCTGGCAAAACCTTTTTTTCACTGAGAGTAAGCACCCATTATCATGTTTTCCTTTGATCCAGTAGTTGAGAATTGTATGGGAAAACTCAAAATTTAACTTCCAAATAATAGTGGTGGAGGAAAGAGGTAGCTCATGCCTATAATCCTAGCATTTTGGTAGGCAAATTGGTAGTTAGGAAAATCACTTCAGTCCAGGAGTTTGAAACGAACCTGGGCAACATAGTGAGACCCTGTCTCTACAAAATAATTTAAAAATTAGCCAGGGATTGTGGCACAAGCCTTTGGTCCCAGCCACTTAGGAGGCTGAAGTGGGAGAATCGCTTGGGCCCAGGAGGTTGAGGCTGCAGTGAGCCAGAATCACACCACTGTACTCCAACCTGGGTAAAAGAGTGAGACCCTGTCTCAAAAAAAAGACTGGTTAATAGATTGTACAAAATCACATAGCTTTTATAATGATGGGGCCAACCCAGAAACAAAACACATGAGTCAGAAATAAAGTATTTATTGACCCTCTTGTATGTGTAAGAAATTATCCATATTATCATTTTTATTATATGCAAAATGGTATTGTTTGGCTGTGTCCCCACCCAAATCTCATCTCGAATTGTAGCTCCCATAATTCCCATGTGTTGTGGGAGGGACCTGGTGGGAGACAATTGAATCATGGGGGTGGTTTCCCCCATACTGTTCTCGTAGGAGTGAATAAGCCTCATGAGATCTGATAGTTTTATAAGGGGTTTCCCTTTGCACTTGGTTCTCATTCTCTCTTGCCACCATGTAAGACGTGCCTTTCGCCTTCTGCCATGATTGTGAGGTCTCCCCAGCCACGTGAAACTGAGTCCATTAAACCTCTTTTTCTTTATTAATTACCCAGTCTTGAGTATGTCTTTATCAGCAGTATGAGAACAGATTAATACACAAGGGTATACATTTCATGAAATTGAACTATTAGAAGATATAATGTATATGTATATACTATGTTTTATTTGCAAGAGCAACAATTGTTGGTGACAAGTTTGCTGTTTTGGAAGAGAAGTCTGATATACTAATTAAGATAAAGTGGGAGAAGGGAATAGTCTATTTTATTTTATTATTTTTCTTAACTTTTATCTTGTAGAGTCATTGTTTTCAAAACCAAAGCCCCATGGAAACTTCTTCACTGATTCTAAGAGCATTAAATATTTTCAAAAAGTAATACAAATGTCTTTATTTTTATATGATCAATTTGGTTTGACCAATAACAAGACATCATACCAAATCAAAGTTTGAAGGCATTCCAGTCTTATTGCTATCACCACATTGTCTGTGCTTTATGATAACCATTTATTAATTTAAAAAGCATTTAAGTAATCACTACAACCTAGGCTCTGCCCTCAATTCTGAGACTATAATACAACTCTCACCCTGGTATTCAAGGAGATCACAGTTTAACAAATGATGTCAGTACTGTGATAATAATAGAAGTATCTTTTACACTAAATCTTTCTCCAATTAAAAACCTGCATTATACTTATGGAAATGGTTTTCCCTAAATATTTTTTCTGAAATACATAGAATTTTCTCATTAGTTTTATTATTGTTAACAACCACACATTGAGAGGTCAACTACTGCAGATGGAAAATACAGTCATAAGCATTTACATCTTTCTAACCTCTTGTGGAAGATCACATATATCTCTGTTAACAGCCAGTTCTAGTTTCTCCAAGCTGGCACAATTACTTAGTTCCTTGGGGACAGTCTTGATTTTGTTGTAGCTAAGAATCAGTTCCTGAAGTCTAGTAAGCAGTCCTATAAAAAAATAATATACAATAGAGAGGAGTTGGATATAAAATAATGTTTATAGTTATTAAGGTGTTACAGCATAACTTACTTGCCAGTTTTGTATTGGCAAATTTGGAGTTCTTAGTTTCTTCCCTTTTCCCAGTCTGTGTCCTGTCCCTTCTTCAAACAAGGGACAAATTTATCCATGCAATAGGAAAAAAAAAAAATCCCAAACTGTTTTCATTTTGTTTCATCTACACAAAATCCTGAGAAATTTTCTATTCAGATTTTTTTTCCCATTTGAAGAATCCTGTTTTCTTTACTGCCTTCAACCTGTTGAAGGCTATTGAAGCTATTCCTAAGAGAAATAGCTGAGCTGACCATACTGTATGGAGAATCTACAGGATATTTCCAAAGAGGCTTTTCTCTCATTGAAATCTCATCTTGAATCACCTCAGTAAATCCAAAAACTTGAATCCTCTAGAAGCTTCAATTTAGACTAAATGTTTAAAATTTCTCAAGGTTGAGGGCTGTATAAAGAGGTCTTTATTCCATGTATCAAAAAAAATCTTAATAAAAAGTACATCTGCAGGTGGATAAAATAGCACAGGAATAAAAATAATCTTTCTTACCAATCCCTGGAGGTATCTCTGAAATTGTATTTCGAGATAAATCTAACACAATGAGGTTCTGGAATCTTCCAATGAATTCAGGTATTTTCAGCAAACCAGTTCTATGAAGTTGCCATTCCTGTAGTTGATTCAGTTTCAGCAGAGAAGAAGGGAGGGTCTACAGTAAAAGAAATGATAGTTGTTGTATATTACTTAAATTGTTTTAGTATCACACCACCCTGAAATGTGATATTTGACTTATGTAAGCACTTTGGAATATTTGAAATTTGTTTTCTTTAATGGGTTACTTTTCCAAGTGCTTTGTGTGACTTCCAAGTTTTAAGATCTTTACCTTTTTTTTTTTTGGCTAAACCTTCAAACCCCAATCATGATAGAATAAACAGAAATATTTTGATCAATAATGTAGACACATAGCAGTATGTCCTGATGATTCTGTTATACAGTATTAGGCTTTCCTTAAGTACATATATGTTATTGAAAATGAGAGTATCCAAAAAAATCATTTCAATCAGTAATTCAAACTGCTTTTCCACTTCTGTTTTGAAATATATGAATATTTTAAAAGATTTATTTTTTAATTTGAGAATTTTAAGAGTTTCAACTATTCTGAACCCTGTACCTTTTCCCTTTCAGCCTAAAATAACCAGTAGAGAATATAAAGGAGCTAACTCTGACAAACAGTGACATAAAACATAAAAATAAACATGGACCCAAGGGTTAGAAGCTCTTGTAAAAATTAGAGTATGCCTAGTATAATTAAACTGTGAGTTTGTGTGTAAGGGGGAG